CCACGCAAATCACGACCGAACCGCTTCAGCTCCTTGAGCCTCGTCTGCTTCACGTGGATTTGCCATCCTCCTGTCTAACAACTTTGTGACTTCTGCGAGGTCACGACGATTGCCAGTACAGGGAATGTGAGAGGTGAGGCAGACCACCTGCAAAGTGTGGACAGCATCAATTTCTACATCATCAGGGATGGGTCCTCTAGCTCTTCTGCAAACTGGTGCCATGCACTGGCTGATTTTCCTGCTTGCCCCTGCCATAGGTCATCAACACATCTTCTGATAAGTAGATCTCCTAGAGTCAACCCGAGAACCTTAGGTTCATAGAAAAACAAGAACAATGGAACACTGAAAGGCTCTGCACTACGTGGAAAACATCTTCTGACAATCTATCCTCTGAGGTGTACAACATGGATCTTGAACACTGGGAAAAGCAGTAGAAACAGGCAAAACACCGGAAAAAAGGGGTCTGCGCAGCGTTGCACACTCATGATTGAATGCAAACATTTCTTGAGCCAAAATGGGAGCGCAGTGAAACATCATGGACCTTAGGCAGGGCAATGGTATCCAAACACCCCTCCTGGACACAAACCCATGGTTTGCATCGATGCGCACACTAACTTGCTTGCTAGCCATTCAGAGCCCGTGAACTGCATGAGTCGCCTGGCGATTCAGAGCCCGTGAACTGCATGCGTCGCATGGCGGGACAAGCCGGTAGCCACTTCAGTACAGGTGTCAGTTATGTTCTGGTTCGTGCCCACTTTCTCAAGAACAAAGCTCAGTGTTCGCCAATCGCTCTTGTACCCAGACGAATCTCGTTTGCACGTGGTGTATTTTCTCAAGACCTTGTCGAGTGCCCAAAGCTGCGCTTGAATCAGTGAGACCTTGGTCTCGAGGTTGCAACCGGGGTAAAACTTCCTGAATTGCAAAACCTGTTGAAACTGCTTTGACAATAGCATAAACCTCAGATTCACCCGCTGACAAACTGATTGTAGATTGGCAAGTTACTGGCCAAATTATTGCCGCACATTGAACACATTCACGCTGCGCTCTTGCGTGTCAACAAACATTCTGCAAAGTCAGCATCTGTGTACACAGTGATTGCGCTGCAAACCTTCTCTGGCAGACGCTTCTGAACAGCTCGCATTGCGCCACGCAAATCACGACCGAACCGCTTCAGCTCCTTGAGCCTCGTCTGCTTCACGTGGATTTGCCATCCTCCTGTCTAACAACTTTGTGACTTCTGCGAGGTCACGACGATTGCCAGTACAGGGAATGTGAGAGGTGAGGCAGACCACCTGCAAGTGTGGACAGCATTCATTTCTACATCATCAGGGATGGGTCCTCTAGCTCTTCTGCAAACTGGCGCCAGGCACTGGCTGATTTTCCTGCTTGCCCCTGCCATAGGTCATCAACACATCTTCTGATAAGTAGATCTCTTAGAGTCAACCCGAGAACCTTAGGCTCATAGAAAAACAAACACAATGGAACACTGAAAGGCTCTGCACCACGTGGAAAACATCTTCTGACAATCTATCCTCTGAGGTGTACAACATGGATCTTGAACACTGGGAAAAGCAGTAGAAACCGGCAAAGCACTGAAAAAAAAAGGAGCCTGCACAGCGTTACACGCTCATGATTGAATATTCTGCAGCAGCAAACATTTCTTGAGCCAAAATGGGAGTCGCAGTGAAACATCAGGCTCATGTACTCCTGGACCTTATGCAGGGCAATAGTATCCAAACAAAAGGGAGACCATGTCTCAACCCTAGCATTGAGAGAGGGCCCCTGAAAATAGAGAAATCCAAAAAGAAGGTGTTGAATGTAAGGATGATGACGACGATGACGATGACGGCGAGGCTGTTGTTGTTGTTGATGATGATGATGATGATGATGAAGATGATGGTGATGATGATGATGATGATGATGATGATGATGATGATGATGATGATGATGACGATGACGATGATGATGATGATGAGGACGACGATGACGCTGACGGCAAGGATGTTGATGGTTCAGACGATAACGATGCCGATGACGGCGACGAGGATGTTGTTGATGATGATGACGACGATGAAAATGACAACTATGACAATAATGAGGGACATTCACAAAATGAAGAACATGAGGAAGAAGAAGACAAACAAGAAGAGAAGCCAAAGCCTCACTGCTGTCCCAGCAGCGGCCCTCTTTCACGGAGATGCACTTCTTCCAGTCGAAGCTGGCGTAGAAGCGCAGGAAGCCTCACCAGGATGGAGCCAATTGGTGTGATGAACAAGCCTTTTCAATGTTGGCCCCGTTTCAAAGGGAAACTCAGAAGAAACCACCAGGATGTCAACCCCGGAAATGGCTTCTGTTGTAAAAACGAAAAAACTGACAAGGGCACCAAGCCTCAAAATAGCATGCACCAAAAACGTCTCTCCCTTGGACCTGACCAAGACGCCACGAAGCACAAACGTCACATCGACATGGGCGCCAAAAAGAAAACAAAGCCGTGCTTTCGTGCATGTTTGTGTGCGTGTGTGTTGTGTGTGTGTGTGTGCAAAAAAACCTGCCCTACTTGAGGGGTTCACCCTATTCCGACACACACATATCCAGTGTGCTTGATTTTCCCCCCTCACGCGGGCAGCCAAAATGGGCATGGATTCTCTGTACGATTGACTCACTTGAAGTTTCGGGACTCAAACAGGGGTTAAAGGAACGCGGCCAAACAAAGGAAAAGCCGCCAGCCCTTCATGGGTCGCCGCTTCCCCCCTGACCAGACATGATCAACCCTTTCGATGTCCTTTGTTCAACCCTTTTGTCCGGCTTGCAGGTAAACTCGTAACCTTGCTGCTGCCTGAAAACACTGTCCGTTGGTGATGCTCTGGCTTGCACCCGATTTGCAAGCAGGCAAGTAACTTGTCTTAGCTGAAAGGCATTGGTTGGAGAAAGGGGAAAAAAGGAAATCACCTTCAAAGGTTGACCATACGGAATGTGGGCAATAAAAAACGGATCAATCTTGCAATACTTACTGGAAGAATCACCAACAATCCGCTTTCAAGGTGCCGAGGCGACCCTACACCCACACACCAATCAAGGGACTTGTCTCCACTTATATAACCGAAAGAGATAAAAAAAATGCCTGCCACCAGAAACCCTTGCACAGCCCAAAATTCTCTCGGGGGCGTTCAAAGGCCAAGATCTTTGAGCCCCAGCATCTCTTTTGAATCTGGGCTCTGAGATCCCCTGTTCAATCTTTAACCTTTCATGGAAACTACTATATAAACCAAAACTAAAACCAAGACTAAAAGCAACTAAAAAAAAAACGCGAAGGGGAGCCGGACCATTTGCTAACCATATCTTTCGCTTCGTGTTCGCTTCAAAGATCCCGCGGCTTCCCAAGTGGCCTTTCAGCAGCTCGCCGGCCTCCTTCTTCTCGCCCGAGTTTGAAGTGCCTGAAGGCCCGGCCGGCGGCCGGGTCGGCTTGTCGGCTTGTCGGCTTGTCGGCTTGTCGGCTTGTCAGCTGCATTGGGTTGCTGAAGAAAAAACGGGGGCAAAAGAATCCTGGCGTTTGGTGAAGGAAGGAGAGGAAACCAAAGGTTGCGCTTGGGTACTTTGGTACTTTTTGCTCGGAGCGCGATTTCCGGGAGCATCTGGAGTCCAGCTTCGCTTTCGCAGACTTGCTTTGCAAGACCCGACATCCAGCAGGGTAGGTGGACCAGATAGGCAAAGAGGCAAACGATGAACGATTATTGTGAGATGGGTGAAGCATGTCCAGAACACTCCCTTTCACCGCAGGTCTGAACAGAAGAGCAAAAATCACGAATCACGAGGCCATTTGGGGTAACCTCTTAGAGGAGGCTAGTGCAGATGTTCAATGCGTCCGCAACAGCAACGGCTTTGATAAAGGAAACCAACCAGGCAACACGGGCATATGCTGAGGACATTATACGAAGCCAAGACCACATATGTCTTCTGGCCGACAAACCATCAAGAAGCACCAGCTAGTGATTGGGGATTGGCACAAGAATTGGCGTGGGTTATTCCGCTCTTGATTGGAGCCTCGGAATGCAGCTGACATGGACATTCTTGCATGGGACTCACACCCCCCCTCCTCCCTTTCGTGGCACCCACTTCAGTCATTCATGCCAAGCATCCAAGGGCTGCAAGGGAGCCAACTGGCGGCAAAGCCTTCTCCTGGGCGCTTTGGCAACTGGGAGTTCCACGTGATGCCACGTGATGCCGGCGACTTGAACTCCAACAGGCCATGACTCACAAAAGGAGCTTCCAACTTCTTCGGGTGTCCACAAACTTGGAGGCTCGGTGCCAAAAGTTGGTTTTTAGATGGAAACCAAATTGGACCCCCTCCCACTTTCAAAGTCCAAATCCCTAGTTGTTGTTTCTTTCTCCAAAAAATGCTCCTCATCCCTATGTCGCTTGCTTATTTGTTTATGTTTATATATATATATATGTGTTTTGAAAAGAAAAGAAAAAAAGAGAGCTCCTCCACCTGCAGGTAGAAAATGGCCAGGAGCATCCAGCAGTACGGGGACAGGTGGCCCTTCGCCGCGTGGCTGATGCCGCGGTCCTCTAAAATCCGGCGCTTCTGCTCGGCAGGGCGGCCCCCAAGGGCGCCGGGATTGTCGCATGGCAGCCCTTGAACCCAGGTGGAAAGGGTACCCCTCAGTCACAGACACAAGCACACACACATGTCCAACAACTGAGATTTTCAGAACTTGACATTTCATACCCAAGTCAAGGACCCGCATCATGGTGAGCTCCGTTTTTTGCCATCCCCCCCTCCCCCCCGGTGAGACTCCGTAAAAGTGATGTCATCCCAAGAGTGTGAAACTGACAGCTGTTCAACCCCTTCAGGGTACTCTTCGGACTATCAGCGAGATCGACCGCCATCTGTCGGATCCCTGATACACGAATAGCCCCGTCCAACCCTAAACGCTTGCGCGTGCTTGTCAAAACGGTGGAGCTTGAAAAATCGCGGTTGTCCTTTCGGTGTCCCGTTCAGCCAACTCAAAAAAGGGGTTCCGCTAGGACCAGGATCATCAAAAAAAAGGCACAGAATGAATGGCGAACGACAGGACCTTGGGGTTGCAAGCTCTGCCTGGTAGTGCCGGCTCCTTTGCCCAACGCCTCACCAGCAGGATCAGGTCTTGCGCATGCGGCACGCGTGCACACGCCTCCAGGGTGTTGGAAGGTTTGTGGGGGGGGGAGGGGCGGGGGGGGGGGAGGGGGGAAGGGGGGAAGGGGGGGAAGGGGGGAAGGGGGGGAAGGGGGGAAGGGGACGTGGCCACCCGAGCCGTTCGGAAAGGCGGCCTTCGCTTGCTCGATGGGTCAGGTGCTTTCCTTTCGTGCCGGAAGCCAGCCAACCAGGTCCGTCGTCCACTTCGTAAGCAAAGGAAAAAGACTCGCCGTGGCCCGCTGGCCCAGGGCTTTTCAAGGTCTTCTTTAAATGGAAGTCTTGCTTCCATTTTGCAATGCGACTAAAGTCTTGCCAATGGCCCCGTGCTCCCGATGCGCATGTCGCAGGTACAAGGCTATGAGTTGGGACCCTGACTCGTAAGAGGAAGCAAAATGACACTTCGAAGTAAAGATCGGACGCTAAATGGAAAGCCCGTGCGCAAACATAAAGCCTGACTGCTCCCAAAGGGTTGCTAACCACAAGGGGGTTCTCAGGGAGAAACTCCCCAAATCACTTACCATTCCTCTGGCCATCGGTGCCTTGCTTGGTCTGCCTACACCTGACTTCCTGCCAACCATTGATCCTTGAAATGGGGCCTCAATCAGAATCTAAACCCACCACGCCCCGGAATTGGAAACTGCCGTGTGAGTTGCGGTCCCGCTTCCATTGGCAGGAATCCTGCGGCCGGCCACGTAATCCCCATGGTCATGCCTCTACCCCAAACTTCCCACACCCACCGCCTCAAAGAGATCCACGCAATGTCGGGGTCCCTCAGTATTCACAGCCAGGTTGAAGGGGATGCTGGCCTCCCGACGGCACAAAGGGCAGGCCTTTCGGCGCATGACTGGAGCACGTTCAAAAAGGTTAGGGCCCCTGGGCCATTCTTGGTGGTGGCCTTGCTGGTCTTTGCAACCCAAGACGCAGGAACTTACAAACGAAGAGAAGACAGACCGTCCAGTTCACAGCTCCCCCTGAGGATTGCCTGTCAGACACTACTCCTTGTCTGATTGAGCAAAAGGATTACACAGTGGCTGACTTGAAGAACTACGCCCCCCCCATCTGATTTCGAGCAAAAATAATCAGAGCATGGAAGGCAAGATTCCTCAACCCCAAGAAAGCACCTGCTGTCATGCCTTCATGACGGATTCCTGCACTGCCCAGGATCCTCATGAATTTCCACAGGTTTGCAAAACACAATTCCAACACCCGGTTGGCATAGCCCAAAAATGTCCAGCGACATTCAGGGGGCCCAATGTCTAGATTTAACTTCTGACTCAGGATTTCTCTGAAACAGGCAAAACAAAAACTGGCAAAAAAGCCTAGGTGTCAGGTTTGGCCCCCGGTGGAAAAGAGACGGCTGTTCTCCTCCAGGCAGCAACAATGCCATCCAAAAATGGCAAGAGCGGCAAAACACACATATTCAAAACATGAATGTAGCGTCCTCATGCGCAAGTGTATATTTAGTTGTGTATGTGTATATATATATATATATACGTGCATACATAGTAATATGTATGCACCTATAATACAAGTATATGCATACACACCATGTAGCACGTGAACCTCATTCCTCTGTCTCTCTCACCAACCACGCGGGACGTTCAGAAGCACCGATAATGCGACACGGGGCTTTATAAAACCCTGGTTTAGCAATTGGGCGCGGGTCTGGTGTAAGAGGGGCTGGGGGGGGGAAGCCCATGCTGAGTCATGGAGTGTAGCAGTGGGGTCAACGGCATTCATTGCAAATGGTCATGGAACCAGAAAAGCCTCAAAAGACGATTGCTTCGATTGCTTCACAAATCTGATTCCTCAACCCCCACACTAAATACGGAAATCCAAAAGATGCTTGGCTGCCTGCAACCCCTGAAGGGTATCAGAAAAAGACCTCACCCAAATTGATGCGCCATGCGAATCCGATCCCCTGCAAAAAGAAAACTCCTTGCTCTCTCAATCGCTACGTGCGGAAACATAGCTAGGCTAAGCCGAACTATGTAGCCAAGCTCCGATCGCATTGAAGCTACCGAGCCCGAAGGAAACTGCGCATAGTTCCAAGACAAATGCGTTCGGAGACGCATGGAGGCCCGAATTAAGCCGTCGCGGCAGAGGAGTGCATCATGAGGCACAGGAGGAGGAGAGATCGGAAGGTGGGCGCATGCAAATGAGATGGTGCCGTTGGCACATGTATTCCGTCAGGAGGGATGAAACCCGATGGTCTGTCTCAAGTCCTTGAACCTGGAGGCCACGACCAAATCGTTTTAAGTTTATAGCTTTATCTTCTTGGTTTAGTCCCAAGGAATTACTTTTGGCTCCAGTGGTGGAAAGGGTACGTAGGCTGTTAACGCGTTGCTGCTTGAAAGGGATGAATGGACGAAAACCAAACGGGCAAAGGGACAAAAGGTTTGGCACAAAGTCTGGCGAAGATTCCTCAACCTCCCGCACCTTCTCCCAGCACTGCTGCGCAAACATCTCTCTTTTGTTGTCTCTCTTGCTTGTTTCTTCAAAAAACCAAGCATTGATTTGTTTCTGGGCATGTGCAAACCTAGGGCCCTAACGAATGGCCTCAGTTCTCGCGCCCCGAGCCCCGACTTCCGACTTCCTTGGGACACGCCCGGCGCCTGCGCCTGGGGCGCGATGAGCGTCACCTTGGGCTCGGAGCCCCGGAAGGCCGAGCGCCTCGCAGCGATGGCGCCGGAGGCGAAGCGATGGCGGGGAGGGGGGGGGTCCCGGGTGAAGGAGCAGCTCTGATTTGGGTTGAGTCAAAGAGCAGTGAAGCGATGGCGACCAAGCGCGGGGGAAAAAGTTGGGGAAGGAGCTCTCACTTGGGCGAAGAGTCAGAAAAAGAGAAGCTCTTCTCTGGGAAAACACAAATGGTCTGGTCTTTCCAAAAAGTTTTCCCAGATGGTCTTGCCAAAAAGTGGAAGACAAACGAATGGTTAGCTGCTGCTTCCCGAATAGTCTTGCCCAACAAATCTAAATATGTCAAAAGCGCGCTTAGCTGTTGTTTTCCAAAATAGTGTTGCCAAAAGTAGTACAAAGTCAAACAAAAAAAGTGCTTCCTTTGCAATGTGGTCTTGCCCAAAATGGTATATAAAGTCAACAACATATTTAGCGTGTGTCCAAAACGGTATTGTTGATAAGCATAAGCCCAGAAACTGGAGAGAAGCAAGGTATGCCCTTATCTTAAGGGTACCCTTGTTAGGGATTGCTTGGAAGCTGAAAGGGAAAGCAATTCTGTGGGGGTCCTTTGGGAACCCGAATGGGTAGGAACTAGAAATTTGATTGGGCTCCTTGGACAACAAACACCACGCGTATTGATGCCGTTTCTGCGGGTGTTCCCCATCAAAACTCACAGCCAAATTCCACAAGGAAGCGCACAAGACCCAGGCGTTCAAGAGAAAGGCTGCGATCCAAAGGGGTCTGTGCGCTTACTTCCATGTTGGTGGGAGAGTGCTACCTCAGCTTCTGCCGACTACAAACATGCATTGAGCACCGTAAGACATACGGTCGACAGTAGCCTTGTTAGACCAACTTCCCTTTGCTTCCCGCAACTTGGGTGTGTCTGTTTCCATAGGGACACCAAAACGGTGGGTGTTGTCTTTGGTTTCCCTCAAAAACCAGCAAAAACAGGGTACCCTCACACCAAGACATCTCCACGTACCGCCACTTCACACCCGCCAGGCCCGCATGGCCTGAACTTGAAGGCACCGTGAGAGACCAGGCGGTCCGTGCCTCGAAAGCTCTCAGGCTCAACTGGGAAGCTGCGCTGGAGTACTTTCAACCCGAACTTCGTCAAGGGGAAGGTGTGAAAGAGGCGGAGTGGCCGACGTGCTCGTCTACAACCGAACCGGCGCAAGCTGGGCCATGGACAGCTTCGGATCAAGGACTTCTGCAGCTTGCTGTCGCGGCCAGCCTGACCGGCAAAACGGGGCGCGCCCCAAGCGCTGAAAGATCAAGCCTCGGTGTGTTGCCAGCACAGGTTTTATTGCCTTTGCCACAGTTTTAAAGGGGGCTTATCCACAAATTCGCCGTTTGGTTTGGCCAGCGTGGCAAAGGCCCATGGCCCGGTGCCCGCCTTGGCATCAATGGTGACCACCACCTCCACCTGCGCGCGGGCGGAATGAGGCGCTACGGAACTGCTTCGCAGTGGGTTGGGCATGGTTTCCAGGAGTGTCTGAGATATTTCGTAGAATTGTTCAGGTCCGGTCTGAAAAGGTAGAAGTCCCACCCCAGCCCCCAGCCCACCCCCACCCCCCACCACCCCCGCAACCCAAGCCTCGGGCCCGGCCTCGGGCACCGCCACCCCAAACGCCGCGCCCGCCAGCGGCTGCGCCACCGCGAAGGCCCGCACCGAGGCCGAGCCGCCCAGCGCCGCGCGCACGGCCCTGAGGCGCGGCTTCCGGGCGGAGTTTTCCCATTTGCCCGCTGCAGGAAGGGGGGTCAATCCCCAAGCCACCAATCCCCAAGCCATTGCTGGTGCTCAGAGAGGAACTGTTTGAAGGGTTTTGGGAAGAAGAAACGGAAGCGGATTCCTCAAAGCAAAGCACAAAGGATGGTGTATAGGGGTCTTTCCGTCTTGCTGAGAACCAGCAAGCAACCACCAAAGGACGTGATACACAGCGAGTATGTAGCCACTTGAGGGGCTCCGTCTCTTGTGGGGGTCAAGTAGTGGTCAGTGGGCCCGTGGAAATGATCTTAGAGTTGGTCGCCAAACACTACGGTCGAATGTCCTTTCTCGACAGTATGGGAAAATGGGAAAGTCCCCCTGTTAGTGGGAGATTCAGCGAGTGCCCAAATGTTTTGCCCAAAGTCGTGTCTCAATCTCGTGTTTGTCACCTGCACATGCCCACAGGGAAATTAGGCCCTTTCGGGGATCCCAAATCTTGAAACACACCCATGGAGTCCCTGGAGGGTCCGAGGTTTCGCGAGGGCTTGGAGGGAGGGTGTTATTTGGGGCTTGCACGCAGTGGTCCCCACCACAAATGGAGGTCCCAAAGTGCACACCAGGACTGTGTGGGGCAAGCTAATCTTCATTCTCAGTCGCAAGCGCACTATTTGCGAATCTGGATTTCGACGCGTTCAAACTGAGTAAGTTTATGTTGATGGTAGCCAGTTGACCTTCATAACCCCCGACGCCCTGAGGTCCTCAAATCAAGGACACTGCCACCCAAACGTGGCCATCGCTCAGTCAGTGCTGCTTCTTTTCCTTACATTCCTACATTGACCGCTTACTACTCATACCCATGCCGTTCCGATGAAAACCGCCAAGGTCCAAAGTGTCAGCTGAACTCTATTCATCAACGAGGACTTTTTTCTAAACCCAGCATCGCTATAGATCTGTCTCCAAAACAGGATCCTGCCTCCTTCAAAACCAGCGCCTTGTCTTGAAATTTGTTGGAACCCCCCGAGGATCCTTGGGTCCTTTGGTTTGCCTTTAAAAACCCAACCAAAAGCAGGTTCCCCCGCAACCACAACCACACCAGCCCCCCCCCCCCCCCCCCACAAAAAAAAAAAACGTCCGACAGAATTGAGGAGAGGTGCGCGGCGACCGACTCCACCTGCTCGCGGCTCGCATCAGTCCTGGGGCCACAAAAACATGCCATCGACATGCGATGGGACCTCAAAAAGCCTGTGGCCCGCCAAAAACCGAGTACACTGAAAATCACATATGGATCTGGGTCAAAAATAGGGACCAAAAATGGAACCCTGAAGAATGGAAACAAGGACTAAAACCTGCGGTCCGCTGGTGATCTACATATGGGTGTGTCCTTTTGGGGATCCCCAGAACGCTACGTTGTCCTTTTGGCTTTCAGGGTATCAACTCCAAAAAAAGACGAGCTACCCATACTCAGATTCTGCATACTTTGTCTCCCCAATCCGAAAAATCGTGGAGGTCCTTTTAGTCTATGTCTCGGTTTGCCACGTGCTTTGAGTAGAGCCACATGTACCGGTCGACTCATCCCAAACCAATGTGCAAATACTCAGCGGCAGTCTAGGGTTTCTTCCAGCGTTCGAAGGTTTGCCCGCGGAATAAAAGAAAAGCGAAAAGGCAAAGAAGAGAGCAACATCTAGGACCACTTGTGCGCCCCAACGTGAACGAATCTCGTGCACATGCCCCGAGTACTGCGAAAAACACTTGGCCTGAAAAGTCCGTCGGTGGTGCGAAGGGCGACTTCTGAAGGTCGCAAACTATAGGGATGCTGCCAATGATTTCTGACGCCTCTCGAAAGTGTCCAAAAGAATCGAGCGCTGACGCCTCTGGACACATTCGCTAAGGCACGTCTTCAACTGCAGCAGCAGCTCTTGCACTTCGTTCTCCCAGCCGCTGGCAAGGAACTTGGGCGCCTAGCATCAATCAAAACCTGCACGTGCCCTCACGCTGCACCATGTTCTCGGCTCAAGGGACAACAAGAGAAATTGCAACAAGTGAAGCGGCAGACAATTTCAATCTCAGTTGCCAACATTCCTGTCCAGAGCTGTATGAGCCATGGTCAAAATTAGTGAGTCTTCTGGTTTATGATCCAGCATTTTGGAAAGGGTGGAATGCCACAACCCCGGAAGCACAAGAGTCCTGCAAGCGGTGACCAAAACATGGACGTTTGGTTCTGCTAAGAAAATTATCTAAAGGCTTACGTAGCCCTATGTCTCAGCTCCATGAAACCAGGTAGAATCACCTACTAAAATTACCAATTGTTTGGGACCCAAGTGAGACATGCACAATCTGCTTATCAACCAGTCTCCAAAGGGTGGACTACACAAGACCTGCAGGCCCTTGCACCGAAAACCGCACCAACTTGTAAAAATAATCTCCGGACACCGCCACAGGCGTTAGCCCCCGCTGATTTTGGCAAAGGATGATCAAAACAAACCTAAACTCGATGGTGAAGTTCAATTTGTGAGAGGAAGTTTCTTTGAAAAAGCAAATATATATATATATATATATACATATATATATATATATACAGACACCCCCCCCCCCTCTGCATGCCTTCACGGGCATCACGCTGGGGCGACGTACTTCTGGCTTCACCCTGAGCTGTGCGAGTCGCAAGGGTGTAGACTTTTTATGATGTAAAGTCCTGTGCCTGGCGCAATTGCGGATGACCTTCTGCATAAAACAAAGCCCAGATGGCATTTTCAGCCACATGAAAAAAGAAATAAAAGCATTTGTGTCTTTGCATGGCTCTTCAAAGCAGACGAACCTCGGCTCTATGGCGATCCGGGTTTGGGGTATCGGGCCTCACGTTGCTGTGAAAGCTGAGGAAAACGGAGCTAGCTGCCCAGTGGGAACCCCTCCGCCTCCCACGGAGAAATTCAGAATGAAGCCAGCCATTTGGAGGATTGGTTTCCTATCTCTACAAAAAGCAGGGGTTCAAATCCCCAAACCACCAATTAAGGGTAACCTGATCTTCTGCTAGATTCGCCGAGAAACAAGTTGCACAGGCTCCCAGCGTTGGGAGGCATTCTAGGCAAAAAGCGCGCAAAAGGGGTGCTGGACACACAGCACATTAGGGCGTCCACAGGTTTGGCTTAGATCACCAGCGATCAACTGACTCAATCATCAGCTCCATTTTTTTTGAGATCAGCCCAATGAAAAGAACCGAGGCAAACTCGGTCCTTTCGCCACCCACCCCGAGACATCTTTCAAGACGAGCCACTGTATTATTTCTCCCTTCCCACGGTCGCTTATGGCGTTTCGGTGATAACCTCCGCACGCCACTCCCCCGTACCAAAATTCAGTTTTCCGCGCCCCTTTCCGGCCCCGGGGCGGTGCGGCCGCAGGAATCAGCGTCCCCGGCGTGGCAGCTGGGGTGGGCGCCATTTCGCGCAGGGCGCCCCACTTTTGGCCCTCGGCGGCGGTGAAGCCTGCAGTCGATGGGCGGCTTGGCCTGTGACCCCATGGGCAACCAATGACCCGAAAGGTAGATTCGAGCCAAGTCTTTCCAAAAGATAAAAAGAAACAGTGCCACTGAACAACTTTAAGCCAAACCTGACAAGTAAGACAAACCTGTTGGATCTGTCCCACTGAAAAAGGGCCGGGCCTTTGTTCGCCGCGTGGGCGAAACAAACGATAGGCCTGCCCACCCCTCATGGCCTCTGCGGATGCGTTCCGGCCGCACCTGCGCATTCGGTTCGTCAGCTCCGGGGTCGCATGTGACACGTGGCAACTTTGGATGAAACCATTCAACGCTGATCTTTGGCCGATAGCCTAAAAAAAGTGTTCAAAGAAGACTTGAAGTTTCAGTGCTGGAGTTGAGAAATGAACCCAAAGCACCGGCATTGTTGGATCCCATTCCTGAGGTTCTCTCACTTCCAAGCGCCTCAAATTCCCAACAACAGACACATCAACCCCACCCCATATTCCATAATGGGGATGTCCCATCCTAAATCAGACTGTAACCCCTCAATTCCATTCGAAGCGGGAGTGTCCAGTCTGTACCTTGGCCATGTGCACCCACGTCCGGTTCTGCCATGCTGAACCTTCCACGTGGACTCCTTGGACTTGAACTCTTTTTTCCCCACCTTTCCCCCGCGCAGAAGCACAAAACCAAACCCTTCACCAACCCAACTTATCCACCCAAGAAGCCAAACCTCCGACACCTTCCCCATCGGCCGCAAGTCCCCAGCCCCGGCCGCCCCGGCCTGGGCCGCCGGTGCTCCGGCCGAAGCCCGCGGGAGCTTCGCCGACTTGGCCAAGGGCTTGTCTTTGCGCCTCACCGCAGGCTCCAGCCATTGCAGCAGCGAGTACCCAGCCTTGCCGGAAACTGCAGCCCAAAGTGTCCCAAATACATAGCCGCTGTTTGTACCACTTGTATATCCCTTACATACCCCCTTATGTGAACCTGTCTTGCCCTTGAGACCCTTGAAATACCCCTTGAATACCGCCTCTGTACCCCTTCTACACCCTTACCCCTTCTATACCTTGATGAGCACGTCCATTTCAAAGGGAATTGCTAGTTGTGCACACGGCAACAGAACTTCTCCCTTGATCGTGAGCTGCTGTCCCCGTCCCTCTTTGAGGAAAACACACCGTGAGGGAAGGCGCCGGGCACTGAACACCCGTTCGGCCGGATGTCCATATCGTCATATCTCGTTGCGATGTGTCTGCAGGCTTCGGCCCAACTGCCTTGATTGTAAGAACAAAAGCAAGTCTTGCCGCTTGCCAAGGGTCCTTCTACTTCTCCTGGAAAGAATGGGAAAGGTTCAGTTCCCTGTCGAAGATGCTGCGTTCTGCACATTTGGCAACTTTGGGAGGCTTGCCGAAACTTCTAGGTGTCCTGTACCAGCCGGAACACGAGAACAAGGTATGCAGTGCTTTCTGGACAACTACCTTGATGCAAGGAAACAAAATCCTGGAAGACAAAGGATGGGGAAGCCAGTTCCGGCAGATCTACCGTGGGAAAAGACTTTGCCAGTCGTTTGTACTGCCGGATCTTTAGGGTGACTCAATATGGCCATGGGTCAAAAACCAAATCATCCCCCCAGGTGAACATCCCAATCCAACCACTAAAATAATTCGTTGTTTTTATCATGGGTGGTGATTCCCCCAAAATGGGCTCCCAGAACGGTTTGACCACCACAGCCATACCAAAGCTTCAGCTGGTCCTTTGTCTCGGACTCTCAGCTGCGGGTTCTGCGAGCTTCAAGCCACTTGTCCTGCTGGACCGGGTGTTTCATCGAAAGGAAACTGACCTGTCCATGTAGAAACCCGGAGAAGACGTTGGGCTTGGAGACCAGGGAAGCCAAGAAGCATGAACAAAGAGTATGTACTTCCACCCTTGGAACCTGGTTGCAGTTGACCCCTCTGCAAAAAGCTTAACATGCAAAACCCTTGATTTCCCAACAAGTTAAAGTCTGAAGATCCAACCCAATAGCAATCAAGGTTACCACTAAAAGTCCCGGCAGTTTCCGTGTTTCACAAGTCTCAAAGTTGCTACGTCCCTCGAGAAGAGATCTGAGCCCGCGAATCCGCTCTGAGCTGGCGGCCGCGCCAATGAATGCCGCCAGCAGGTGGTGAATCTCCAAGGGAAGCACCAGGGTCAGGATTGCCTCCAGGGGTCTCAAAAGGTTCTCCCCCTTTAAACATCACCCCAACTTGAAAGGATGCTCACTTTCAATTGGCCCACTGTCAGATATTTCGAAGCCGGGAAACCTCTCCGGCCGAAGGCCCGAGAGCCGAAGGACCACCCGACGGCCAAACGAGACGAGAAACGCTTTGACCAAGCGGCTGCAAGGAGGAGGCACTGGCTGCGCACGTCCAACTTGCAGATTCCGCCGAAGGCGGAGGAAATGGAGTCGAGTTGCATACCTCAGAGTGTCAGCTGAGGCAGATTTGTGAAAACAAAAAAAAAAACGAGGGGGAAAAAGAAACCGGCGGCGTGCTTTTTCTTCAGGACAGCTGCCCAACCTCTCCGCTTTGGAGCAGAAAGCATACCCAAAGCGATCTACACCCGAGGCTTTGGAAAGGGATGGCGAGCGATTCCAGGTGGGCGAGTCCAGCTCCAAATTTTTCAGCGAGGAGAAAAGTTCGCCAAGGCAAAGTTTGAGAAAAAAATGGATGGTACCTTGATATAGAGCCCTGTAAGTGTGGGTAAGGCGTTCGAACAAAAACAACTCTCCAATTTCAACCTTGGTTCACTTTGTTTCAAACAAATGATCAAGACTAAACTCGTAGAACAAGCTGGTTCGGTGTATCCAATTTCCCCAACGCCAGATCGATCTGCCCAGCGGCAGGGCATGAATGGGCCGGGACGCTGGTCCTGGCACTGGGGGCCCATGTTAAACACCTAAGGTTTCAACATCCTTCCTGTGGGTTCTTCTTTCTACATGGAAACGGTAGTCATGTTGGTTTCCTTTCTCGGGCCTCCGAAAAACTACGAAACTACCAAGTGGTGTGCTCAGCGGGTGTTTTTTGGGACCCATGCCATAGCTTTCTGTATTGGCTAAGCTGAGAGCGCAGCCAAGAAAGGAGCCCCCCTTCCAAGCTCCCTGTCTTAGGCCAAAGGAAGACGACAGCCGAGGCCCAAAGACGCCGAACTTACCCGAAACAAGCGAGATGCGGACACATCCACGACTAGAGCGTGTTTCAGCTCGGGCTTGATGAGTTTGATGAGATTCAGTGCTTCGAGGTTCCTGCAACCATTCACAGCCCTAGCTCGATTCATGAGACATGGGCCGCTGGCGGAATTTGACGTCTGCCTCTCCGAGTCCCAGCGCCCGGACCCAGCGGAAAGCCCCGGCCCGCCTAGCACAAAGTTCGATACCGGGGGGTAGTCCAGATCTGACTTGGATGGCTGCAGGGCATTCGGCACACTGGTAGGCCCAAGCACGTCAAGCAATACCGGATGCACATAGTCTACAGATTGTTTAAATAAAACAAAAAACTGTAAAGGAAAAGAGAGGCCTTCTCGGAAATATGGTCGTTATTTTCATGAGGTTTCCTTGGCCAGGGTGAATCGGTAGTGGAGTCGCAAGCTCAAAACTTGATTGACCAGCTTGCTCTCAACTGGAGTGGGAATGCTTCGCCTGCGTCATTGGGTCCCAAGTACGAGTGAGAGTATGCTCAAACAAGCACATGAACCCCGTCAACATCAGAAACTCTCTTCTACCAAAATGGCTATGGAAAGTTGATCGGGAACACCCTCAAAATGGCTGGCGTATTTCTGATGTCCACCAAAGGTCCGACCACTTGGAATTCAAACCCTAATTGGTTGAAAGCAATAAGCTCTTCGCCAAAAAAAAAAAAAGCGGGCCGGCCTGTGGCAGCGGGGTCCACTCTGCATTGCACTTGAGTTGGTGTTCGACCTATTTGCAATGCTCGGTGGCAGTGCCCCAATCCGACTGCCAATCGCCCCGCGGACTTTTCTGGAAGCCACACGTTCAAGGTCCGCGATCTGGCTGCGATCTGGCGGACGTGGCCGCGGCAAACGCCCCTCCCAGCGACAAGTTTAAAAGCGGGAGGGGCAAACTTCAAAGCGGCGAGGCGAAGAGGCGAGCGCTGGCTCACTCTTCTGGGGTCCAGGGCTCAAGCAGCTCCTGAGTGCGCTGAAACCGATCGAAAAAGAAGACCTGGTTGGTGGTTCGGAAAAGTCCCGTGCACAAGGCCACCAACGGGTTGCCTGAGTAGACATGGTTTGAAAAGCAGGAAGTATCCTTTTTGGTTCGGTTCGAAAAGAAATCAACAAACGACCAAATCATTTATTGGAGTGGCCTGTGATTTTGACACATTCTCATATTTCGAAATCAAGGGTCCGAGGTATGGGCAAAGCGTCTGTCCTTTTCCTCTCAGCAACTGCCCCACTCATGGAGCTGACCAAAAGTCCGGAAGTCACCTTGGAAAAAGGCCCCTGTTCGTCTTTAGTGAACGACGAACTAAACCCAACATCCGCGAAATCGACCTACAAAGGTTTTTGTAGAAACCCTTCGAAATCCTCTTTGAATTGCCCAGGCCATTCTATGCTGCCCACCCCAAGTGGTTCAGAGCTGGGAAAGTCGCTTGGCTAACCAAGCTGGTTGCTTTGAGACGAACTGGAACAGGAAAACCGCGACAGTTGTCCTTTGAATTGGCTGGACCTCCTGGTTGGGACTGTTCCCATTGAAAAAAGTACGCCCACTTCTCGCGACTGATTGCAAAAAGGAAACCCCTTCAAAAAAAGGAAGAAAAAAACACTGATTGCAAAAAGGAAACTCCTTTCAAAAAACAAAAAAAGAAGGCCCTTACAGGCTGGGGACTTCTCTCGCCAAAGCGCGGCCAGGGAGTTGTGGCAGAGCGCCACGGCGCGTCCCAGCTCGGCGGTCAACCGCTGAAGGCTCAGCGAGTGCCTCGGCCGGCGATGCGCGACCCGCGTCTCTTGGGCGGCGTCATGCCCATCCTCTACCGAAAATGCTGGTTTTTTTAGACACCCCCCAACGCTGCCAAGACCCCCCGCCCCTCCCCTCCCCTCCCCTCCCAGTTGACAGAACGAACGAAAACCAGAACCTTTGCCATGGCGGGGGGATCACTTTGGTCGCAGTTTTTGGATCACTTTGGTCGCAGCTGAAATCCACTCACTTTGGTCGTAGTTTGAGCATTTGCGGATCACTTCTGTCGCAATTTTTGGATCACTTCAGGCGCAGTGGAAGATAGCTTTTTGAGCACTAACAACAGGACACACGCAAAGGGTGTTGCCTCTCAAACACCTAACAACAAGACATGCCGCGTTGACAAGGATGTTGCCTCCCAAACACCTAACAACAAGACATGCCGGGTGGGGTGGGGTCGACAAGGATGTTGCCTCTCAAACACCTAACAGCAACACATGCCGCGTGGGGTGGGGTCGACAAGGATGTTGCCTCTCAAACACCTAACAACAAGACATGCCGGGCGGGGGGTCGACAAGGATGTTGCCTCTCAAACACCTAACAACAAGACATGCCGGGCGGGGTGGGGTCGACAAGGATGTTGCCTCTCAAACACCTAACAACAAGACATGCCGGGCGGGGTGGGGTCGACAAGGATGTTGCCTCTCAAACACCTAACAACAAGACATGCCGGGTGGGGTGGGGTCGACAAGGATGTTGCCTCTCAAACACCATAGTCAACGGCGAAGAAACTAGGACCGAAGCGAGTAAGGAAACTAGGACCGAAGCGAGATGAAAACTAGGACCGAAGCGAGCCAGCAACTAGGACCGAAGCGAACCCGCGACCCTTTGCCATGGCCGAGAGCAAGGAGGGCTTGTGTTGATGAGTGGCAGCACGTGTCTTTCGCAAGACATTGCAGTGTTTGGCACGCTGGTCAGGCTTGAGCGCCGCGGTCTCCCAGCGTATTCCTGCTCCACGCAGAGATTGCGGCGGCTACGGCGGCGATGACGCCTCTTGTTCGCCCCGCAGTTCAGGCACAAGAACAGCCACAAAGCGGCGGGCCACGGAAAAATTGCCGCAAGAGAGCCTTTGCGCGCGGTGTGCCGCTCGGGCAAAAGCAAGATGGCCCTGAGCCAGTGAAGCTAGTTGCTGCACTCTGGCCAGCCCTCTTCAACTCCCTCAATTTGCGACAGCTCTGCGGTGGCCAAAGACTCGCCGACAAGCGCGCGTTTTCGGACGGCGCGGTATACCTGAGTCGCGGCTCAACGAGTTGCTGGCGGTGATCCAAGGGTCGGAGCAGAGCCAGCTGACAAGGCACCCATAGGAAGTGTCCCTCCAACAACGAGCATCTAGACGTCTCGCATCTGGCCGGAGAGGCTGCGAGACACAGGGAAACAAGCGGGAGACACCCGGCGTCACAGCTGGGAGACACAGGAGACAAGCAGGAGACACGACCTCGGAGCCTACGTCAGGAAAACCAGTTGAAAACAAGACCCCGGATTCAGCGTCACTGTCTCATTCTTCAAACCTCCAGTTAGAACCCCAATGCTTCGCTGTTTGTGAAACACCCCTGATTTGGAGACATACCCCGATTTGGCTGCGCAACCCTTGCGTGAGTGGAGGGCTTGGACAAAGACTCCACGGGCCAACTGTCAGCTTCCATGACTTAGGGATTTCGGAACTGGCCAGTCCCAATGACTTGCTCTGCACCTAGTGGGGGCGGGGACAATTCCCAGTTTCTGAAGCGAACAGCAACCATCACAGAAACTGTGTTGGCATCATGGAAGCGAGACTGGGCTGTGCAGCTAAGAAAAAAGCAATGCGAAGTGAGGGATTGTTGCATTTGCGCTTGGTCCTAGCGAGGAGCATGGCTTTCTGGCGCTTCTGTTGATAAGGGAGACTAAGTTGTTCTCATAGAAGCATAGGAGGGCGGGGAGGGAGTGGAGGAAGGGAGGAAGGGAAGGGAGGAAGGGAGGGAGGGGAGGAAGGGGGGAAGGGAAGGGAGGAAGGGAGGAAGGGAGGAAGGGAGGGAGGGGAGGAAGGGGGGAAGGGAAGGGAGGAAGGGAGGAAGGGAGGGAGGGGAGGAAGGGGAGGAAGGGAGGAAGGGAAGGGAGGCAGGGAGGGAGGGAGGGAGGGAGAGAGGGAGATGGAAGGGAAGGGAAGCATTTACAGAAATATATTGTGTTGATCTGGTCGTTGCCCTTGATTTGCAACTTCAGAGATCGGCGAAGCCAAAGAGCCTCGCCACCACATCAGCCGCCAAAGCATTTGTAGAAATAGATTGAGAAACAAAACAAGGAAGTACAGTGCTAAATCAAGAGCCCGGCCTTCCCCCTGTCCCGTCTTTCACTGGCCAAATCGCATGCTGGAGGCAAGGTCGCTGCGGCGCTCGAAGGGGTCCTCGCGGCGGTGAACCCGATTCAGTCAGTATGTCGCGTTGGGCATCAAACAGTCTCACATGCAGATGTTGAGAACGCGTAAAAACTAGGCATCCTCCGCATCCTCTGCGAAGCAGCAACGAAAGCTCCTCGCTGCCTTTTACTCGCCTGCTGCTCAAGATCATCGCGATAGGCTCGTAGTCAGTACAACGCGCAAGAACAAGAGTTCCCTTTTCCAGTGCGTGGCCCTATGTGAGAAATGATCAAAACATGAGGTGGCTATTCTCGGTCCCCATGTCCCTCCAGAATTGACCATGGATTGCAATTCGGACTCGCGAGATGGTGGGTGACAATGCTCTCCCCTAAAAAACATGCCTTCCCGCGAGCCTCGCCTGAAAAGCTCTTCGCAACTCGCACCCGCTAGAGTCGAATCCACTGAAGGTAGAGAATTCTTGGAGACAAGTTCAACCACGTGCCTGCACCCCTTGACGGTTAGAAAGAGTAATCAAACCCTACCACTCTACCACTGGGAATGCTCCAAAATCCCGGCCCCCACAAAACTCGATGGTCGAATCCGGTCCTCAATGACCGGCGCGAAGTGTCCCTCCACCGTGCGTGGAGCGATATCACCTCGTCTACCCGCAAGAGCCATGGTCAAAATATGCAGTGGCCTTCCACAAATGAACCATGATTGGACTACAGGTTTTAACCAAGCCTTCTATGGCCATGTGTTTTTTGTTTTTTTTGCTGAACAGCCGCACTTTGGAATCTTCAACCGGGTTGTGTTGAAACTGGCCAAGAACGAGATTACCGACGTAGGTACAGTATGTTTGCACATGTCTTGCTCCGGCACCGGAGGTTGGAATTCAATCTTTAGCAGAGCTAAACTTTAAGGCGCGCCTTTTGAGGGGCTCGGCGGAGGCCCTTGTTGGAACATAGGCCTCGTGGTTGTCCTAAGGGCCCGCTGCTAGCCGGCTCTTCTGAAGGCTGGTGCGTGTTCTGTGTATCTTCGCTTTCGTGTCTGATGCTTGGCACGCCCGCACTGAAGCTATTTGAGAGGCAGCCGTTCGCACATGTCATTGCCGGGCCATCCTTGCCACCTGAACATGCACAGGGCTTGGACAGCGATCCGCGCGCCTCCGGCGCGCACACGGATGGGGGTCTGCCAATCGAAGTGGGCGAAGAAGCTGAAGAAGCCTACTGGAAGCTGAGGGAACGTGTCCCATCCGGGGGGGGTTTGTGTCAAGACGGGGTGGGGCGTTGTGAAAATGGCCCCTCTTTTACAAGATCCCACCTACAACGCTGGCAATATGCAGGGTTTTGCCTGGCGATGCCAGGGGAGTCCGCAAAGAACCAAACACAATCTGAGGATGCACAACAAGAGTGGGTGTAATCTTCATGCATTCACGGGAAATTCAAGCATCAACCACATGAAGCTTGCGGCAGTTGCACTAAGTAAATGAAGTCCAAACTACTCCAAAAGCACAAACCAGAAACTACGGCCCCCAGATCTTGTCCGTTTAAGGCGAATCTGGAGAAGCCTTCGCATAGTTTGTACGGCGACAGTAGACTCGTGGCATTGCCAGTTGATCTCAGTCTGCCATTCACATCAACGGAACATCGCCTGCAAGACCTCCTAAGCTGAGTGAACCAAGGCCTCAGGGAGGAGGAAAACAAACAAGAATCAGTGAGGCTGCCTCACAATTCCAAAAATCCGCACCTCCTACCTGAACCTTCAAACTACCCTGAAAAACGGGAAATTTCATAACTTTGGGACATCCCATGGAATGGTATCCCACGTTTAAGTTCGGATCCCTGGAGCATGGCCTCGCAGCAACTCCCCGGCGCTCTTGTCGCTGCCCGCCGCGGGGGGGGCGGGCTTGCCGCTCGTGAGGAAGCCTCACATCCGGGCGGGAGGGGGTTTGGGCCCGCGGCTCATGGATCAAATCAAAACAAAAGGGTCAAAAGGCTGGCTTGAACATACTGAGGCCATTGCTGGAAAAGACCGATGTTTTGCGTTATTTCCGGGCATTGTCCATCTCTTTCCACCTTCAACTTGGCTTTTGTATTCCAAGAACAAACAGAGCCCCATCTAGAGCTACAAGCACAAACAATTTACGCACACACACACACACACACGCAAACGTGACACAGGCGCGCGCGCGCACACGCACACACAAACACGCAGACACACTTTCTAGACGCGCACAGAGCAGCTGAACGTTGAGGGAGCCGTTGAAGCATGACAAAGGTTTCAAGCCGAAAATAGGTTTACGGGGCTGTCACACGGATGACCAGCACGCAGTTGATCAGACTCCGTATCAGACGTGGCATAGCCCTCTGCGTCGGGCAACCAGCTATGCTCACGGGGTTGCCCCCCTGTAAAAAAGGTGCGCACCACACACAAACACGCAAACTTACAGTAGACTCCCGAGGGAGCGAGCCAATTCAGAGTCGAGCAAAACATATCGCAAGCACAACGTCAAGTGTGGTCGAGTCGAGCTGGCTTCCTTCAAGCTACTCAACAGGGATGCGTCAAGCAACAGCCAGTCGGCGGGGCGTACCAAAGAGACCATCTAATCATCTCGCAGGTACACAATCAACTCGAGTGCAAATCCAGAAGCGCAGTTTGAGGGTCTCCGCCAGGCCAATCGAGTTTCGGCATGTTACACGCTCGTGCCGACGACCATCTTCAGGTACGCCATTGGTAGGTGACACTGCTCCATGTTGAGACATCCAACAAGGTGGTGTCCTCAAGGTGACTCCAAAAGACTGTCCCCGGGAAGATCAGGGCTTTGGCACACACGCACACCATTTCTGGTCCTAGTGCGCCCAGCGCCATCTCCTTTACTGCCAGTGAATATGGCGAGTTACACCCATTTTTGACAAGGGCGGCCGGCGTTTCCTTCCCGTGATCTTTTTCGTGAAATCGCTCCAAGCTGCTCAAGTCGGGCAGGACGGGTTCCTTGTCCTGCGTGATGGCAAGATCCCCGCGTCCCACATGATGCTGTACTTTGAAACCAAATTGAGTCATGATCGTAAGAGATCGTAAGAGCATACAAGGTGTGCAAGTAGCTAGTTTCTTGCGTTGTCCAAAAGACAGAATCATACATGGGCACTCCAGTCTGCACCGACAAAAAAGGCGTTTATGTCTGGCGTAACAGTGGATATGTCCACTTGAATTCGTTTTTGTGGGGCGTGCGCGTTGGAATGTGTAGGAACTGTTTCTATGTGGCTGTGCGTGTTGGGCTCACACGCAATCGCGTTAGCAAATCACAAGTGTATATATAAACTATACTGTCATGGGGACCCTTCACGAATTGAAGCTGGTCATCTTTGTCAGCCCACAAAGTCTCTGCTCAGGCAAATATTTGAGGCCTGTTGACACACCCCCGACCATTGGACAATTGCGCAAAAATACAAGATCAGCATGAGGCTTGGCTGAGGCAATTCACCTGTGGGGTGGTCTAACCCCATTTGGGCAAGCAGCAAACAGCAGCTTGACTCAACGTCAGCTTATGGCAAGGTAGAACATGTCCTGAGGGCTACGTTATCCCTGAATGGGAAGTCACATTGGTTTAGGGGGACCTTGACGCAGAATCAAGTAATGCGTCTTGCTTCAACTTCCTATAGGTCATCCTGTTACTGAACTCCTCAACGAATGGGCGCCTGGCAACGCTTCCAACAGCAGTGGCTCTGAGCATCAAACTCTGTTGGGTGTCAAGGCCTAGTATGGTCGTTTGTGTAAAGCCCTTGACAGGGTCCTCCCAAATGCTGCTGCACAAATCTGTCCCTTCTGTTCTTTGCCCAACAGCTATGGGCTCTCAACCAATGTCTTCGGGGCGGCAGAAGCGGAGGCTTCAGGGGACGACCTTTTTCACCCAACACCCAAGCCCCCGCCCCCCGAAAAAACAACGCAGATCGGCTCCTGCAGGTAGTACACCACAAGCAGCATCCAGCAGTAAGGGGAAAGGTGACCCTTGGCCGCGTGGCTGATGCCGCGATCCTGCCATCGACGTGTCGACGTAAACGGATCCAAACAAAATACGTATGGTCATGGATGGATGGATGGATGGATGGATGGATGGATGGATGGATGGATGGCT